AGAGCGCTGATCAGTACTTCTTCCGAGGTGATGGGTACCTCCAAGGTGGCAGAGATAAAACACTGATAAAACTTCGTAATATTCTCCCTCCATTTGCCTGACCGCAAACAGAGTCAAGGTGCTCCTCTTCTGCTTCTTCGAGCTCGCGAAGTGATCCATAAAACAGGCGCTTAGCTGGTCGAAACCCCCAATCGTGCCACCCGGTAGCTGGCTGAACCAGGTTTGGGCGGCCCCCGCCAGCGTAGTCGCGAAGACTCGACATTTTACTCTCTCCGTGAACCGGTGCAACGCCAAAGTGTTGTTGAAGCGACAGAGATGCTCAAAAGGATCGGTGGTTCCAAGGTATTCGTAAGTGACAGGTCGAAATGAGTGCGGCAGCTCGTCCTCCAGAACCTCGGCAGCGAAAGGGCTTGACGCACCCAGCGCGGATCTTGCGGGCTCCTCGCCTGCTCGCTCTGCCATTTCGCCCATTCTTCTCTTTGGCGATGCCGCGTCGGGCTCATTTAAAATGCGGACAGAACCCTCCTGCACGGCGGTCGCCAAGAGCGCCTGAAGGTTCTCCATGGTCATGGCGACCATAGGGCTTCCTCCTGCAATACTGGTGGCCTGAGGTATGTCATCTCTTGTGGTGGAAGCCTCTACGATGACTGGCTGATGCCCCGACGGAGCTGGGGTCGCCTCAGACTCCATCTGGCTAGCTAGGTCCCTTACTATGCTGGGAAATGAGGTCATTACTATATGTATACTGGGTAATGAAAAATAGGTATTAGTGCTTCAGGGTAAAACGTTGCCACAGCTTTGCTCAACGATTTCCCACAGACGGCGCCATTTAATCCGACTGGATTTGGGGTGGGTTAATTTAGAGAGTTGGGTAGGCCTGAACTTGGACCGGGGCCCGTTGATGAACCTACAAAAAAGGAAAGAACCGGACTTAGGCCGGAGTTAGCACTCCGACGGCCAAGTCAGTAACTTCCTGAAGAAATATTATATTTTTATATGTAATTGATAT